AGATTAATTTTTTTTTTTTTGATTATCATTTCAGCACTCCGATTTAATTGTTTTCAAGTTGTATTATTTTGATGCTAGTGTAGACTATAAACAAACAGAAATATACAAATTAAATTTTTTTTTATAGCTGCCAATTTAACAACCTTCTGTTTTTTTTTTTTTAAATGTGTGAGATAATGGTGTCAATGTGATGTATATTCATCATATTTTGGGACAGTTTCTTGTCATCAATAACATCCAAGACACTCCAGGATCTACAGGTATTATATCTATTTATTATACTTCTATATCTAATGAGATTACTTATTTTATGAATAATATATTAAGGACTTTGGCCCTATCAAAAATTGTGCACCAAATGTAAAATTAAATATCTTAAGAATTAAAAAAAAAAAATAACAATATCTTAAAAAAACTAAATTTCAAATTTCTGGTTGAACTTTCATCATACAATAATAAAAAAAAAAAATTACAATTAGTGAATAACAGAATTAATGAAATCATCTTAATACTAAAATGAATGAATCTGAGGCTTTTGCCAATGTTAAACAATTTATTTTTGAACTTGTATGTCTTCTATGGAAAAGAAAAAGTACATCCTTTTAACAATCAAAGTGTAAAAGTTCCATTTTATATTTTATCCATTAAAAAGAAAATTATCTTTAACATTAATTCTCTTTGAAAAATGAATAAACTAAAATTGAAGACATTGGGTGGAATACACAAAAATTCTAGGAAATATTAATCATCAATGAATAACATTGCACAAAAGAGGATCATTTTTTAAATTTTACAGAAGATAAAATATCAAAAACAAAATACAACCAAGAAGAAAAAAAATATATAAATCTATTTATAAATAAGTAAATAAAGTAAAATTTAAAATATTTATGCTGTCAAAATTTAGAAAGATTTTTTATAATAACATCATTGAAAGATACATTTTTTTAAAAACTTATTAATACTTGTTTAACTAACAACAAAACCGTGAAATGTGGATATAAAGTAGAAAACCAGTTTTGGAAAGTATGATTAAAAAAAAAAAACCTTAATCAGAACAACAATTCTGATAAAGATTTTTTTTTTTTTTTTTTATAATAAAAATCTTAATTTTTAACAAGACTGTGTGTCTTTTTTTTTTTTAAAACGCACACCTGCTTAATTTGTTATTAAATTTTACAGAAGCAGCATATCTGGTAATTACAATTCGCTATAATAAAAGATTAAAAATATTTAAAGTAGATATGTATTTGTAGGGGATTTTGTTTAATAAGTTTGTTAAAGCTTTGAAATCAACATTTCAGTCAGTCATCCATATTTGTGAGAAAAGAGACTAGATAATTTATTATCCTTTTCTTTTTTTATAGAAATATAAAATAATGAAATAGCAATCGCATAAAAGCTAAGACTAAAAATAAACATTTCTTACAAATTCCAAATCTTTTAAATTTCTGTCTACATAAACCAGTTAATATCAGCCTGTCTATAAAATGCACTTGAAAGACGAGATCCATGCTGGTATTATGCATAGATGGTAAAACATCAAAGAGGCCAGCATGTATAGATAAGCTGTCAGAATGAGTTTCAATGAGCAGTTGTCCAAATATATCCTTGAAAAATGTGTATTAACAGACTGGTAAATAAAGTCCACTCATTCTGCCTAGAATATTGTAATGAATAGAATGTTCTCTAAGCCACAATGGGTAGGAGAAAGCAGTTTAAAACATGTTACAATATTAATTATATGTTTTATTTTTCAAACAAGTATAATTTTTAGAATAACTATATTTTTTTTTAGCATATAAGATGCAGATTAAAAAAAAATGAAATATGAAAGATGTTGGTTTGAGCAGAAAAAAGGCCTGTATAAAATATGTATCTTATATTTTATTTGTTTTTTTTAAATTAAAAATGTTGGGAACCGTTTTTATTGTTTAAATCCCTATTTTTCAACCTTTTTAGGCAACGGTACACCTAGGAGCAAATGAAAATATCAAGGCACACTTAGCAAAATTTTTAAAAGGTATATAAAATAAAACCATAGATTTTGTTTTTGAAAAAATACACAAATATGAATTTACTTTATTTCAATGTTTCTCTTTGACCATTTGCGCAGCTTATTTAGTGTGAAGCCTGTTTTTTGGGGGTTTCTTTTTAAACATATTTTGTGGCCTATTTAAGAGGATCGAGCAGCACAACGGTTGATAATCACTGGCTTAAATCATTTGTTGAATTGAAATTTTGTTTTTCAGAACTTTTATCTTTAATGCAAGGGAGATAATAACGATTCACTTAAATCAAGAAATTCCATTAAAAAGATCATTTAAACTTTTTTTTAATTTATATTTTTAAAATTAAACTCTTAAATGCTAAGTGTATAAAGCTGGTTAAAATTATGTTGATTTTAGATAGTATTAATTTGACAATAATTGTTGGGAGCATTCTTTTTTTTTCTAATTTATTTTGTGTCATTTAAGATTGTAATGCTTTGGTTGGCTTATTTCATGCTCATTCCAGAACAGCATATCAAGTTGTACTTTTTTTAATATGCTTAAGACATCCGTATTTATTCTTAAAATATTCCATGAATTTAGTTTGGTTTAGTTTGACATGAATTTAGATAGATTCAAAAAATTGCATTTGTGGCAATCTTCTCGGTGAAGAGTACCTGCTTTGAAAAGCAGCATTTGAAATAGTGACCATGGGTCAAAAACTACAAGTATTTTACCTGCCAAGCTAGCCACATGGTTCAAAGATGCTATTAAAATAAAAAAATGAAGAAAGTGTTTTAATTTTCTATGTAATTATAGTTCCAGTGTAATATACGGAAATGAATGATTGGAAAGCTAGAAAAGGGTGAAGTAAATTTCAGTATTACTTTCTGGGGAAACGGTATTATTTAAAGACAATGATTACTGCAAAAGCAGCATCATCTTGAACAAAAGAGTTCATTAAATTAGTGACATTATATAGTCGATGATTAATGTTATTTATATTGACTTAGCAGAGCCTAATACAAGGCAACATGATCAAAAGTAGTGAGATTCATGAATTGCCCTTATAAGCATTCGAATCCTAAATAATAAATATTAAAGTAAATTATACAAGCGAATAAATTAAGTAACTTAATGGATAAAAAAAACAAAACCTGTTTTTAAAAATTTCTTTGTCTTGATATTCTCAGTAGGTGAACTTTAACTTTCAGTGGACATTTATGTTTTGTAGATCAAAATGCATTCTGATTACCTAAGTTTAGAAGAAAGGTTGATCCCAAACAATCAATAATCTAAAAATGATATTTGAACTGTATTAGAAATTTAAAAGACGATAATCTGTAATTTTTATCATTCTTGCATAAGTATATTATGTTTTAATTGTATCTTTCAATGTCTAATCTTTCCTCCAGGTATACAAGATTTTATATTTTAATAATATTAATCTATTATTCCTTTCTTCATTCATTCCTCATACATACAGCTTTGATTGTATTTTCCACTATTTAATCAATTAAATAAAAAAAAAAATATTACAATATTTAGAACATTATTTTAGATTGAAATGATACGCTAATAGTCAGGGTTTTGTTTGTTTGTTACCAGCTGTTTGGTAGGCTTTAAATTTGTATGAAATTCATAAATAAAATTTCCATTTTAAGTTCTTTTTAATATAAAAAAATTGAAATTAAGAATTCATAATGAATCTCACACTATCATGTGGAGATTTTTAAAGTCGAACCAAAAGTAATTATCCTATAAACATGAAGAATTTACACAGATAATAAATTATTTGAACAACTACAAAATATATATATATATATATATATATATATATATATATATATATATAAGTAAAGTAGTCATTCAAAGAATAAATCAATAAAGTTAATGTAATTAATGGCGAATACCCTTCACTAAAGCATTAACTCACTGAACAACATGATCCTTGTTTTTATTAATTGTAAAATGGATAAGATGTTCGGTCCATATTACAAGTACTTTCAGTAAAACATTTACCATCCTCAAGTATCACAATCAGTAAAACATTTACCATCGACAAGCATCACAATCATTTTCATCGTGGAATTTTACCCGAAATCGAGGAAAAAAAAAAATCTATGGCCAAGGATGGTAAATGTTTTACTGAAAATACTTGCAATATGGACTGAACATTTAATCCATTTTACAATTAATAAAAACAAGGATTGTGTCGTTCAGTGAGTTAATGCTTTATTTAATGTGTTAGCGAAGTTGATTTATTCTTTGAATGATTATTTTACAATATTAATTAAGCTGCATTATTTAATTATATATATATATATATATATATATATATAAAAATAAAACTTTTCTAATTGGCCATAGCCACAGAATTTCTTTAGATAAATATTGTTTTGTACATCTTGAATGATTAATTCAGAATAATTTTTTTCTTTTTTATTTCAAATGATAAATTCAAATAAATGTGTAAACAGGACCAATTTTATCAATTATTTTTAAACCCGTGCAGACTGCTTTGATTTCATCTTTTTTTTTTTTTCTTGACTTTGTTCTAGGGTCAGTTTAATCTCATAGGCATTCAAAATTTCTTGCTCCCCCTTTTTTTTATGAATATTTCTCTTACTCCATGCCAGCTCATGTTGGTACTGTCTTATTTTGGTCAGGAAAAATATATTAGATGTATTAAAATATTTACCATAAAATAGGAATTTTGCATAATTTTAATTGTGAATATTGAGTATTTAAATTATACTTTTATGAAATTGTGACTATAAGCACCGTTCAGTTTAAAAATAATGTTCACTATTAATTTTTGCTTTGGTCAAGGGCGGTTACGTTTATTAACTTTCAATGTTAACATGAAAAACAATGTTTTTTTTCTTCTTCTAATTCAAAGAAAGGTTTATGTTATAAATAAGCTTCAGAGTTGTCTCCCCTTTTCTTCCATCTTGAGAAGGAATGGATTTTTGTGAATGTAAGTCTTTATGCATCTGTCGAGTTTAATCAACTATCAACCGTGTCCAAAGTTGGCCTTTCCCCCACCAAATGGACAGCTGCAGCCATGCTGTAAAAAAGGCCCTCTTTATTCTGAAGAAGGGATTCTGGTGTATCAAATTCACAGATTTTGCCGTTGTCTAAAACCATTATTCTGGAAGAAAAAAAACAAAACAAACATATTTAAGAATCTTTATGTGACAGACCCCTTTCCCCCCGCCAAAAAAACAACAACAACAACAACACATCAGAATCACCCCAAGCAAGGCAGTTAAGGCACTAAAACACAAGGGGTTACAGGGTGTGGAAGAATTAGAAAACGGAAACATTGATGATGAGAAGAGAGTAATCAGGTAGACAGTAGATAGCAATTGACATTGCATTTAAATTTTTGCAGATTAAAGTTGGCTGGAAAGCATGGAGCCAAAAGGGAGTTCCACAAGCGAGAAGTGTGTCAAAGTTAAAATTCTACATTGGCTTGTTTGAACTTGCTTTTGTGTGTCGACACCAATTAAGAATTAAGTTTGTGATTTTTTTGCCATATTAATGTCGATTTACCTTGCATATATTGCTTGCTTTATATTATTTTTTTTTCCTTGTTCCTTTCTTTTCTTCCTTTTGTTATTGCAAACTTTGTCAATTCTCTTTGTTGGACACTTTTGTTATTTATTTTTGCATTTGACTATGGCTACTCATTCCACATATTTCGTTCTGAATTCCTTCAGGCTAATAATGGTTTGATAGAATCATTTTTACATGAAAGACTGGTTCTATCAATGAAACTGTTAATAAGTTCCTCCTCAAAACACATTCCCACTCAAGTCCCATACATTCCCTGAGGAGTACTCAGGGAATGTATGGGTGTCACAGCTTTCACCACATTAGGCATTGTATCTATGGTTCACATAGCAAGTAGTAGGTTTTGTAGAATGAAGTCCCTAGTCCCATGCCTGACTGGTTTTGAATTCAGATGGTTACCAGCCACAACTCAAATAAAGGGGGAAGAAAAAAAGATGAATTCATATCTTTCCCAAGGGTATTTTTGTGTAAGTGAATGCAATTCTCATTTCAAATTGCAATTTATTACACCACCTGCATAGACATCACTAAGAATTTTTTTTTTCCTTGTCTACTATGTTGATAAATATAGATACTTATATAAATAAATCACACACAATATATATTAAAAGGCTGGAAAAGCTACCATAACAAAAATCAGATGTATAATAAGGTGCTCAATGCAGCCGCTTTGAAAAAACAGAAACGCAGAGCAAGCCAACAAGAAAAAGAGGTAAAAACAATGTATATTACCACACACTATTGTTGTTTCGACTGTTAGGTCTCTTCAGGTGACTGTATAACAAGTGTCCCTCAAATACAACACAATTATCATGCTACAGAACCAGAAGTTAAGAAGGGGAGGAGGTGTAAGCAAAAAAATTAAATTTTAAAATTAACTTTTTTTCTTCTTCTTACACCTTCTCCCCCTTCTGGTGCTGTAGCATGATAATAGTGTGGTGTATTTGAGGGACACTTTGTTATCCAGTCAAAGAGAACTAGCAATTGAAATCATGATAGTGTGCATTAATACAAGGTGTTTTTACCCCTTTTACATTTATATATATATATTTATATATACACACACACATATATATATATATATATATATATATATATATATATATATATATATATATATAAATAAAGAACAATGAGATTTATAATTCAGAGTTCTTAGCATTTATTTAAAAAAAAACAAAAAAAAAAAACAGTGCTTGATACACAGTAGAGCATAATATCATAATTGTTTTTTTAAAAATATATTATCGCAACACCGGAATTCCCATGTTTCAAAACTGTAACTTCAATTCAAATTCAATTATAAAAATTAAACTTAAAATACAAAG